CTCCACGCCGACACCAGAACCTCCAGCTGCACCACGGCTACCTCCAAGACACTCCACTCCAACACCCCCAGAACGAGAACCTTCTCCAACACCGGTGCCACCCCTGAGACCGCCGGGACAAGCCATGACAGTAACCCCAGGACTAGAACCCCCAGAACCAGCACCTCAAAACTCGCGAACCCCGGCGGCTGCTGCGGCTATGGCTGCGGGGGCAACGGCGACGGAGGAGGGGATACTGGGGCGGAGACAGGCAGCGAAACTGACGCCGCGGGGCCCCCAGGTTCAGCTGACTCCTCAACCGGGACAAGCGGCGGGAGGGGAGTGACTTGCGACACACCAGACGGGGCAGGACGAGGAGGGGGAGGGGCAGGGGCTACTTGGGGAGTGGGAACCAGAAACAGGGGCGGGGAAACTGGGAGACCTCGTTGGGGAAAGCGGTAGTAGAAGGAGACAAACTCGTCAAAAGTGACGTCACGCGAGTGCAAGAAGCAGTGAGAAGGCGGGTGGTAGTAGTGCCTGTTAGACATCTCAAGTGGGAAACCAAGGAAGACACAGGGAACAGTGCGGGCAGTGAGCTTGTCCGTGCCAGAGGCACGAACGTGAGCAAGGCAGCCCCAAACGTGGAACGCGGATGCGTCACCAGGGAACCTGGTCCAGAGAAGGGTCGGCGAAACCTGCGGCCGCTGGGAGTGCAGCTAGAGGTTAAGCTAGTGAGCGGTGTAGTGAACATCGAACGACCACAGAAAAAGGGGTGCACTGGCATGGATCATGGAGATATAAGCGACCTCCATAACCAAACCGATGCGTCGCTCAGCGACCCCATTCTGCTGTGGGGAGTCCGGCAGGGTGTACGACTGGGTGATGCCCTTCGCACGACAGAACTGGCCAAGCCGACCGGAGGCAAACTCGACGCCGCGGTTGGAGTGGAGACGCAACATAGGGAGATCGCGGTGGACTCGCGTAGCTACGACCAACAGCATAAGAACGGTAAGCGCATCGGCCTTCCGCTCCAGGGGAAACACCGTGGTGTAGAGCGTGAAGTCCTCGACAAGCACTAGAAAGCAGCGCTCTCGACGCGGCCCAGGGATGGGGGCTGGGCCCCAGATGTCTAGGTGTAGGGTCTGGAGTGGCGCAATGGTAGCGGGAAGTGAGCAGGAGTGAGGAGCACAGCGCAGCCGGCACTCAACGCAAGGCGTACACGGAGGCTCAGGTGAGGGGGGAAGGGCAGGGAGCGACGCAGGGAGACCAAAGACAAGACCGTGATGGGACATGTAACGTAGACGTGGGAATGCGGGGTGACCTAGGCGGTGGTGCCACAGCAGCGACGGGTGAGTCAGCGACAGACACGAGCAAGCCGCAGCGACCTAAGTCGCCGTAGGCACGGCGGCTAGCCATAGCATACCAGTGAGGAGGGTCCGACGTGGGAATGAATCAGCGGCGAAAAAGGTTGTCCAGGCGGCGGTAGCAGCGGTCGACGGTGTGGCCGGGCGGGGAGCAGACGGTGCCGCGGCGGGGGCCGGTCTGAAGCTAGTACTCGAAGGGGACTGCACTGGAGCCACCACCCGACACCGAGCTGCGGCCGCCACCACCAGTGCCGCTAGTCCACCACGGCAGCGGGGGTCCCACGGCGGCTGCTGCTGCTGGTGCTGCGACTGGTGCTGCGGAGTTTGTTGCTGCTGCTGCTGAGGCTTCTTCTGCTGCTGCTGCGGGGCACCATCCCCGGTCCCCTCGTCCAAACCACTGCCCCCGCCCCCACCTCCTCCACCCTCCCCACCCCCACCCCCCTTCCCTTAACCATGCCCCCCCTTGGGGCGCCAGCCCTTTCCCGGACACGACTGCGCTGAGGCCGCAGCGACGGTCTCAGCAACAGCAGCAGAGACGTCAAAGTAAGAGCACTGGGAGGGAGCACAGCCCTGAAATATAGGGACTGACGTAGTACCGCTAGATTGAGCGATAGTGCGTTAGTAGGTCTTTATCGCGGATAGGGCTGTGACAAAGGCGGGAAGGGTGAGGTCACCCAGGTGTTGACTGCGGAAGTAATCGCGGGTAGTGGCTAGGCGGTCGGGGAGGCGCGTGGCAAGGAGGTACAGGGTAGCGCACAGTGGTGGCGGAAGGCAGCTAGCAGCGCGGTAGCTAGACTCAAGCGAACGTAGGTGGGTGGCAAGGTTGGCGACAGTGGGGAAGGACGCAAGTTCAGGGAACAGCATGGGGTGGATCAGGCGGCCAGCAGAGGCGGAGGCGGGTGTGGAGTAGCGTGCAACTACCGCCTCTAAGAATTCCTGGGCGTTCACTACAGCGGTAAAGCGCGGACGCTCAGACAGAGGGAGGGCGTGACTAATGGCAAGCTGCGCGACAGCGTCGCGCGAGTCCCAGACAGCACGAGCAAGCGCAGCTGCTGAAAAGGCCTCATGCTCAGCAGTGGTGGGGGCAGCAGGGAGGGCAACAGGTGTAGTAAGGGGGAGGGAAGCAAGCCATCGACATGAACAGCCAGAGAATGACCGTCCTGGCGTTGACCTGTAAGGTGACGGTGGAGGTCGGCGAGCCATGCCTCGAAGTCTATCGCTTGACCCTCCGAGTCCGGGCGAAGCTGGGAGTCCGCAATCCCCATGGCTGCAGCAGCTGAATGCCGCTGACAGGAAGAGGAGGAAAGGTGAAGTACGGGGCCGGTGGCGGTTACGGGGCTAGCTGGGGCGCGATGGGGCCAGCGGGGCGCACGGGCCCAGCGGGGCTCATGGGGCCAGCAGGGCGCACGGGACCTACGGGGCGCACAGGGTCGGTGGCGCGTACGGGGCTAGCTGGGGCGCGACAGGTTTAGCAGGGCGCTAGCAGGCTAGCAGGGCGCGACGGGGCCAGCGGGGCGCTCACAGGGCCAGCGGGGCGTGAACGGGCTCGCTGGGCTCGACGGGGCAAGCGAGGCGCTAACGGGGCCAGCAGGGCAAACGGTGCCAGCTGGACGCACTGGGCCAGCAGGGCGCGAACGAGGCCAGCAGGGCGATCGGGGCTAGCAGGGCCTATGGGGCCGGCGGGGAGCACGGGGCTGGTGGGGCGCGACGGGGCCAGCGGGGCGCACGGGGCCAGGAGGCCGCTAACGGGGCTAGCGGGGCGCTAAGGGGCTGGGGGGGGGGGGGGGGGTGGGGGGAAGGGGCCAGGAGGGTGCTAAGGGGCCAGCGGGGCGCTAAGGGGCCAGCGGGGCACGAAAGGGCGACTAGGACTAGGCCTAAGGCGGAAGCGCGGGTGGGCGAGGAGACCTGTTCACCCACTCTCCTCCCACTCTGGTGGGCGGTACATTGCGCCCACCTCGTAACATGTCCCCCTCCCCCCCTTCCCGCCCGTTTTACAAATTTGGTGTAGTCCATGCCCTTGAGGCCATTCGGCCACGTGTGTCATCGGGCCTCAGAGCATGTTCCTGCTGCCTCTTCCCAGCCAACCTCATCCCAAACTCCCGCGCTACAGTGTCACGTAATTCTGACACGAACACATTAAATGCGGTTTCGCGTGGTGTGACGCGAGATTGGGATTGTTGAGATTCAAGGAGTGCTTTCAAATCTCGTTTCAGACGCGAAAATTTCAGTCATGCGCGAATCTGTACAGTGGGAATTTGACGCGATTTATAACGCGATTCTGAAACGAATTAGCTGTAAAAACGGTTCTTCGAACACGCTCTCACTCAGGCAAGGGCCGAGTTTGGGAAGAGGACAGCCTGGGAAGAGGTTCGTACGAAAACGCTTTCAAACCTGCCACCCGCGGAATATTTTTGCCGCGTGGCTCGTCATCACCCCAGTATTGTACTATAGTTTATTGTGAAGTTCCTTTTTTTCCGTCTGGAAGCTCAGATGATGCTAGACAATTCGTCTGAAAATCTAGACCAGCCAGGTAGCTCGTCTGATGGTCAGACGAAATTTTGAAACCGCGTCTGATTCTCAGACAACCCTAAAACTTGGCAGGAACCCTGGACCTAACCTAGCGTGATACCATGTCAACGTGAGAATGAATTAACAGAATGATGCAAACATGTTGGTTTTGTCTAAGGGGTTGTACCCTCTAAGAGTATGCACCTATCTAGCCTATAAGACACATACAAATATGTTTGACACTAGAAACCACTTGAATTTGGTGCATTGAAATCCGTCAAAGTATGACTATTATGATGCGATCCGCGCAAAACACTATGCATATTGCACGGAGGAGATACGACGGGTTTGGGCGAGTAGCTTGTGACGAGGGAATTCAGGGGCGTTTTTCAAGTGATTTCCAAGTCTCTTATTGCGGAATCAGGTAGAGTTTGCCGCAAAATCACCGTTCTCGTCGCACGTTCACTGTCCACGGAACCACATACAACGGGTATGCTCTATGCTCCAAATCCTCGACTCGCAAATATGGAGTACGACGAATAGGAGCGGTACGCAACGGGCAAAATGGATAATAGAGTAGCACGAGGGATTTTAGGTGGGGTGGCGTAGGCCGTTTTACTCGTTCTGTTCACGATGGGTGCCTTGGCGTATTGGCCACTGGGGCCAGGTTACCAGTGATTTCGCCGAGTGTCATGTGAGGGCTCATGTGGCCTCTTCAAAAACGCTCAGCGAATTTGTCGTACTCGTTCTCGACACCTCGTTCTCGACCTCCCCACAAGCAGCGCAGGCTCAAAACAAGCAAAACAAATAATTTGGAAAATCCTTTTCGTGGTCTCACGAAAAGGGCTAAACGGAGCGAAATTTTGACGACTTCATTGAGCGGTTTCGTTAACCAACCACACGTTTTTACGAAAGCGGAAAAAAAACACTTGAGAAAATCATTTTCGAAGTGTGCAGTTGTTAATGGTGATTGAGGGAACGAGGGTCGTGTTTTCGTATTCGGGACGGACATGTTCGTGTCACGCAGGAAACCTGAATATTTACGTGATTGGTTCTAAAAAATGGAGAACGCCACGAATGCTCTTGACACGAGGATTAGAATAGGACCGTAATTGTAAGACAAAATGGATGAAAAGGGGGTACGTAGGCATGCCCATGCCATGGGTATGCAAAAGTGCCAGGTGGAGGGGGTACTAGCGGGCTGTCTGTGATTTTGTTTTCGCCACACCCCCCCCCTCCCCCCCCCCCCCGGTCCGTCGTGATTACGTAGCATCCCCATTGCAAGCGCGTATTGGCTGGGCAAAACCAAACACAATTCTCAGGGATTTTCCGAGCTCGTACTCGCGGGTTGGTTGGCGAAGCTCGCATGTTGAAATCGCACCCAATTCAGGTGGCGCGAGTCGATGGTCGGTGGCATTATGCGACTGTCGTGACTGGTCACTATGTTTATTGCACTTTTTTAGCGAAGTCTAACCGTAGATGTATACCGTACAGACGGAGTACATCGTAGTGGATCGTATCGAATTCCGGACTTTAGAGTATTACATAGAGTACAATGTCATGGACCTAATGGCATATCCACTGTAATTGGTCGCATGAAGCGAATTTCACTGTTCACCGCCTGGCTTTCTCGCGAAAGTGTCGTCAAACTCCAACTGTCAAGTTCCGTTTTTTTTTTTTTTTTTTTTTTTTTTTTGCAGAGCAACCTATTGCTATCGATCGGAGGAGATTTTTTTTCAAGTTTTATTAAAAGTTTTGATATTATTGGAAGCAAAATGATGGGGAATATTGGCAATATATTGTGGATAGCTCATCTAAACTGCATAGCTTCATAAGCTTCGTCTCGCAAAAAAATGAAATATGTGCCATATCACCAGTACAGCATGATACTTGAAAGAAATAATAATGGAAAAAAGTTCATGTTTTTCACCATTTTCCGATATGTGGAAGGGAGTAATTTAAACATGTAATAGTGTAATGTAGTCATTACACTATGGTATTGGAAAATAAAACAAAATGATGGAAAACAAAAGCAAAAATGCAAAAGTTTTCCATCATTTCGCGTGGGGTATTTTTGTCGACGACAAAAATAGGCAATCGCTTCCCCAGCTAAGTGGGGGAAGTTGAAAAGCCTAATGGACAAATCACACATATTTTTAGGCAATGCATTTTGCGATTGCAAGAAAGTAGATGGCACTTATCATCTCCAGTTCAAGTGACTGCACTCAAGGTGGAAAGTCAATGAACCTTACTCGAGACGAACAGTACAAACCTTCTTATTGCATACACAAAATGAACTACCCATGTATCAAGCAAGCAGTAGCAGAATGGAGAAGGGCGGCAACGGAAAGCAAATAGCAGCGACACAACACTTGGACTTCAAGATGCATCACGAGAAAGAAAAGCAACAAGTAGAAAGCAATTGAAACGTGTTATGTGATGTGACAGTCTACTGCAGACAAATAGCACAGTTGGGAACCAGAGATCCATTCTAACGGCATTCCTGAATCACCAATACAAGTGGCAAAAGAAAAAGAGAACATGAAAAGAACACAAGTTTAGTTGAGAAGATAATGCATGGTGGAACTCGGGAAATGGAAATGGGGATTGAAGAAATGAACGACACATGAGATAGAGGTAAAAAAATAGACGAGAGAGGTAGAGAGAGAGAGAGAGGTAGAGAGAGAGAGAGAGAGAGAGAGAGAGAGAGAGAGAGAGAGAGAGAGAGAGAGAGAGAGAGAGAGAGAGAGAGAGAAGAGAGAAAGAGAGAGAGAGAGAGAGAGAGAGAGAGAGAGAGAGAGAGAGAGAGAAAGAGAGAGAGAGAAGAGAGAAGAGAGAGAGAGAGAGAGAGAGAGAGAGAGAGAGAGAGAGGAGAGAGAGAGAGAGAGAGAGAAAAAAAAAAAAGAGAGAAAAAAAAAGAGAAAGAAAAGAGAGAAAAAGAAGAAGAGAAAAAAAAAAAAAAAAAAAAAAAAGAGAAGAAGAGAAGAAGAGAAGAGAGAAAGAGAGAGAGAGAGAGAGAGAGAGAGAGAGAGAGAGAGGAGAGAGAGAGAGAGAGGAGAGAGAGAGAGAGAGAGAGAGAGAAGAGAGAAGAGGAGGGAGAGAGAGAAAAGAGAAGAAAGAGGGAAGAAAGAGAGGTATATAGAGAGAGCAGAAGAGAGAGAGAAAGAGAAGAGAGAGAGAGAGA